GCCAGTTAGCAGCAGGGCAGCGACTCAGAGCTGCTGGAGAGTCTCAGCGGGAGTGGAGCGAGTGGAGCTCAGTGCACTAAAGCTCCGGCGGCCTAATTGAATCCCCAGTGCTCTGTGGAGTCCTGCCATGGTTGCAGAGCTCCAGGAGAATACAGAGCCTCATCTTATCCGCTCAGTGTCATGACTGCACTATAGACACGTCTGTTCTGCAGGAATGGAGGTTTTAGGTGAGGTTTCGTCATAAAGCCCCACTCTGTGAGTGAGAGAGTAAACTCAGTCTGTTTGTGGGTGCAGGAGCGGCTCAGGTAGCAGACTCTGAGAGAGTTGAGGGTTTACTCTTTTAAACAGCTACAGGGTATAGAGGACGCTCTTCTCCTCTTTTGTCCACTCAGGAAAGCTCCGTAATAGAACTGCTGCTGATGTTAGACAGTCTCGTAATTAAGTGCTTAAACTTAAAGTGTCAGTATGTGGGCTCACACTTCAGTTCCTCATTTTACTAACTAACGAAACGTATTTAGAAGTTTCATAGTGGTTACTGAGTAGTGTGTCTGCATTTTAAAATGACGTCTTTCAAGCAGTGAACTATGGAAGTTCGGAGAGGCCCTGAGCTGTTATTATAATAGTTATATATAACTATTATAGTTAATTATCTTGTGATCTCAAGATAACAAAGTTGTTATCTTGAAATAACGAGTTAGTTATCTCAACATAACGAGTTAAAGTTGTTATCTTGAGATCACAGGATAATTAACTCATTATCTCAAGATAACAATTTTTGTTATCTCGAGATAACAAGATAACTCGTTATTTTAAGATAACAACTTTGTTGTTATGAGTTAACAAGATAATTACCTTGTTTTAACAATCCAGAAAATTAGCTACCTCATGGCTTCTCTGGACTTCTGTAGTGAAGTTTACAAAGTTTTTTACTTACCCCAGAACTGAGATATTTAGTGTCGGAAGTTTGCTTCAATAGTGAGTGGAGGCACATTTTTGAAGATTAATAATGACGGTTTATCTCATGAAAATCCATAAGTGTGAACTCATCAAAGACAATGTAGTTTGGCTGACAACTGGAGTGGCTCATTGTTGCTAGCTAGCTAAGTAGCCAGTGTGTGATAGTACATTAACATTAATCTAGCCATGTGTGCTTAGTGTGTGAACTGGCAACTCACCTCTTCTGCACTTTGGCCCTGCGGTTCCTTACTCTGATATACAAAACAAATCATGCACACCAGTTTTTACCCAGCATGCCGTTTGTCCTGAGCGGTGTCCATTTTATATTGGACTATTACGACTATGTATTTCTCTCTTTCTCATTCACTCTCCAGTCCACACCCATTGCAGCCCACAAGGAATTATCCCTGCCCTCCCGATGGCCAGTCCATCCCTGCCCCAATCCCCACCAACAAGGGCTGTCCGGTTTTGACATGGTTAAAATCTGGCAACCCTAGTTCACTGCTGTTTCAGTGTTTGTTCATAGGCTCAGTTACATGAACAACAGCATTGTATTTTGAGAAATACAAAGAAAAGTGGCTAAGAAAGTTAGATAGCAGGACTTAAAAGTAGCCTGATCTGATTTACATCAAACTAACCAGCTATGCTAGTTTTTTTTACCACTAGTGATGTCATTTGAGCAAATTCATCAGATTCACAATGAATGGCTTTATAGCTTTACTGCAAAACTAAAGAAGCAAACAAGAATCAGACTGACATATCTTGGCTGATCAGCTCCATTTTGAATAAGAAAAAAAAATAGTAAAATAGATTCCCCCTCAAACTGTCTCTTTGAGGAAGATACTGCTGTATCCCTACTGATCCTCCTTCATCCCTTCTTGAACTGTCCCTTCCCTCTTGCTTTTGTGGACTGCGTGGTGTGGGATTACAGTGTGTATAGAGGGTTTAACGGAGAGCGACTCATCAGCATGTTTACCCACCGCAACGCCCTTTAGCCATAGAGCCACCAAACTGGAACTGATTACAGAGGCTGTCACAGGTGGAGCCTAATACAGGAACTGCATCCTGAGACCGAGAGAGAGAGGGACAGAGAGAATGAGAAAACGAGACAGAGAATGAGAGCGAGAGACAGACGAATACAATGAAAGAACAAGTCTGATCAGACTACAAGGCCTCCATTATCTCCCAATCAATACACCATCACTGAGAGTGACTCATCTATCCAAGCTGTCCCAGACGTGATGCCTCTATGCCTGCTCAATCTAGGACACTGGGATATTATGGCTGCAGTGCACCTCCTACCAGCAAACACTATCCAATACAAAATGTATATATATATATATATATTAAACCCTCACTGCTCACAGTGGTCTTTCTCAGTCCACACCATTAGTGCTGTAACAATAATACAACTGGCCTTTACATTGTTTGAACATTTAATGAGAAATGGACCAATAGTAATGGTCCACAATCATGTGAAATAAAAACTTATTACATTAACATACATTAAAAAGGCCTCCTTCTGGCCATTGTGCCAAAATTGACTTAGATTTTTTTCATTAATAAAATCAAATACAGCTATTTTATCAAATAGGACCCTGTTGACCCTCTCTGTATGAAATGTTGTGAGTCAATGCTGTGTTGAGCTGCTAGTGAGCAATGTGAAGTGAAACGGGAGGGGTCAGAGCCCCCTGCCGTGAAAGCCGTTCACACCTCTGCACAAAGACGGCCGTGCTGAGATAAAATGTCCCTCATTCCTCATATCAAACAATCTTGTACGACTGCTACGGTAAAAAGTAACATTTAAACACAACAAAAATATTTATAAATGTTCACGTTTTTGCTCACCTATGAAGACAAAAATCTAGTTTTTGTGCAACAACTGAGGGTTTAAGAACTTTTTTTATCTAACGATTTTTTTTTATCTAACCAGGTTTATTTTAAGAAAAACAATAAAGTAAATATTTGTGGCGATATTTGTGACAGTATGATCTTGTGAATAAAGCCAAATCCCGCCCATTTTATCCCCTCGTTGTGATCTCAGCACTGATTAACACTCAAACCTTTCAGCTGTTTTAACCACGTTTGGGCCAAAATAGTTTCAGTATGTGCTTCTAACAAAGTTTGGAAAAGAAAACTGTCAAGTCGTTATTTAGGCTTGGGGCATCGAATCTTATCCACGAAGGGTCAGTGTGGCTTCAGGTTTTCATGCCAAACAAGGTGGAGCTCACCTGATTCTACTTGTTTGATCATTTGGTCTCTGTCTGCCACCACACTGGCCCTTTGTGGATAAGTTTGGACACCCCTGATTTAGGCAAAATGTACTGTACATACCTAGGAAGACACTTTGATCCACATGAAACCGACTGATGAAGCGTAATGTACCCAAAGTTTTTGCAAATTTTTACTTACTTAATTGAAAAATAACAGCAAGAAAGTTGTTCAGGTGTCAAGAGAACTTTTGACAGGCGTTGTTATTACAGAGTGTTCAGAGAGATCACAAAGTTATCGTGAAAGATATGAGCCTTTGAAGTAAATCTGTACAAAAACACTGTATTTTCAGCGTTTACACTTCTTTTTTCCAGACTGTTTGTTGAGGATGTTTTTTAACAGGAGGCCTTGTCATTCGACTAAAGCTCAGTTGGGCAAAGGAAGCTTTGATCTTTATTAAATATAATGAGCTGGAATATCAATAACTCCTTTATTCCTTAAATTGCTTTTTCAAATGACCAAGTTATTTTAGGGTTTATATTCTTAATTTTATGCTTTTGCTTAGATACGCTGTAATGTTTGATGCCTTTCAGGTTTCACTGTTTAAAAACTATGTTTTTAGTCTTTCGTATCCTGCCTGGTCAAACTCTAATAAACGAAATTGAATGCAGTTCTACCTAAAGTTACCAGATGAGATTTATGTACTGATGCAGTCTTATATTGTAAGCTGTGGCCTTCAGGAGTCTAGCTCTCAATGATCTGCATGGCAGAGAGGGATCCAGATGCAGGGCCAAGTCCATCTTCCACACCCACCATACATATTTAATTAGCTACTTATTATGTGCTTGTTGTCTTTTCTCATAAACATTCAATAAAATATGACCAAAGCCAAAGAAACCATTTTATCAGGCTGTTGAATATAAACTTGACTCTCAGGTGGGATTTTGAACATGAGAGTTTAAACTGATGTACTGGAAACAAAGTCCATTTTAGTGAGTAAGTGGATGGAAAATGTAAGTGGATGGAAAAGTTCAGTACAGGCCAATTCAGACGTTTAACATTTGTGGGAAATTTTAGACAATTGAATAACAGCCTTCTGGTTAAAAGCTGTAGCTTGTTTTTGTGTCAAATAAGTGGATTATACAGTGCAAAAGTCAGAGACCACCCTTTATTTATCTAATGTCCTGTCAAAATGGTCAGTATATTCAACGTATTCATTTTTCAGGATCAGGAAAAAGGAAAAGAAAATTACACAGAAGCCTCAACAACTAAATATTGTTTTTCAGTATTTAATGTGTCCACTCTTTGCCTTTATTACAGCTTCTGTTCTTTTCAGGAGACTTGCTTTCAGTTTTTCAATGTAATCTGCAGAGTTATTCTTAAATACCAACAAAGTTCAGTCTTAGAAGTTGGTTGGATTTACAGGTTATCACGATTCAGAGTAATCAAAAATACATTCAGTGATGTTGAGGTCTGGACTGTGCGGTGACCAGTCCATTGATCTGAGAACACCAGCAGCTTCTTTGTTTGATGATAAGATTTTCTTCTTTTTTGTCTATTTACTTTTCTCAGTAAGGGTTTCTTAACAGCTACACATCCTTCCAGACCCATAGCATTGAGTTGTCTTCTCACATTTGAAGGATGGACAGAAACACCTGTGTATTTTTTCAGATCTGATGGAAGAGTGGAGCTTGATTTTCTGTCAAAAATAAGAAAGTACTGTTTATCTGATGGTAACAATTTTCTAGCAGGTGTTCTATCAGGTCTCGCATGATTGTCAGAAGTCATATCTTCTCATTTTTTGAACTCCAGTTTTATTTGTTCCCATACAGGATTTCCTGACCGATCTGATGATGTCAGAGGTGGATCGGTGTGGAGACAATGAGCACCTAATCTTCCGGGAGAACACATTGGCCACCAAAGCCATTGAGGAGTATCTCAAACTGGTGGGCCAGAAGTACCTGCAGGATGCATTGGGTAAGCAGGAAACACCTGATCTGCTCTATTTTTCAGTTTTTCGCTTTCCATTTCTTCAGTGTTGCTGATGAAATATGTCCAGAAAAAGTACCATGTGCAAGACTAACCTGTTGTGAATGGTCACTGCGGCCTTCAAACCAGGATGTCTATAGTCTGCACTATTCTTCCAATGATACAATCCAGAGTGTATAGAATCAATAATTCATTGTTTTTTTTTGTTATTTTTCTTTTTACTTGTGCTGTAAGTGCCTGTGTTCAAAGCTTTATTTAATTATTAAAGAGTTCAGTCATTCCTTGAAGGCCGACTGGACTGGCTGCTATCGCAACACCAGGATGGTGGGAGAGAAAAGAAATGAGCTGCAAAGCCCTCAGCAGTGCGTCTCTCAAAAGGGCTTGGGGTTTTTTTCTGTTCAGAGAGATATTGTTTTTCATACACTCTCAGAATATGTTCGCAATTCCCCACTCATGCAAGAAATGCTCACTACTAAAATTCTTTTTAAAGAATATGAAAGTATTTTCATGCATATTAATTTTTTTCTTTTCATGATGACTGAAAACATATATGTTGCTCCATGACGTTTTCCAATAGCACATTACAAGTGCATACTCTGAGTACATACTATGTTGTATTGCATACTAGAAAATATGATAAAACACACCCAGGAGCTCACATTTCTGCAGTTTCTGGGTTGATAGCTGTTGTAAGTGCCGTCTGTGTGTGTGTAATTGTCCCAGGTGAGTTCATCAAAGCTCTCTATGAGTCAGATGAAAACTGTGAAGTGGATCCATCGAAGTGTTCCTCCAGTGACCTGCCCGAGCACCAAGGCAACCTAAAAATGTGCTGTGAGCTCGCGTTCTGCAAGATCATCAACTCTTACTGGTAATGTACTGGCCTGCTGCTGCCATTACACTACACTACACCTACAGTGTTACAGTGCTGAAGTGTGACTGTTACAGACAAACCTTCAATTGAACCAATAAATGTCCAATTTCTAAGCACTAATTGGCTAAGCTACCGCTCATATTCACCATCAGAGATGTATCTAGAACTTCTGGAAGGACTAGAGTGACTTTTTATACTAATTTAGTCCCACTCATAGTATATCAGAGCGTGTCTCTTCCTAGTTATGTTGTAATGAAGTAAGAGTACGGCTTCAATACAGGCAGAGTTTAAATGCAACAAGCATGATGATTCTAATAAATTAAAAATGAGTTTAAATTTAGACATGCATTTTTAGCTCCCAGAAATCGTTAGGCTTTCTCTGAAGGACTAGAATGGCGTGAGGGTTTCCCTCTGTATTCCTGCGTCCAGTGGTTGAGGTACTGACATCTGGCCCTCTACTGTAATCCAACACTCTGGTCCTGATTTCTACAGTTGTTTGCGAAATTTGAACGCTCTGATCAAATTACGGCACATTTTATATTTTATGTTGTATATTTTTCCAGTATGTTAAACCTGTGCATAAATAGACATTGTGCAAATTGTGGAGCAAAATATTGCTGAAAAATTTGTAGAAAAATGTTTAATACTTAAGTTTGTTAAGTATTAAATCTTAAGTTTAAGTCAGAAAATCACCGAAACATGCAGTTTGACTGGGGTGTTTAAACTTTTGCATACCACAGGATCAAAACTGGTAGTGGGGATGAGCAATTTGTGTAAAATTGTTTTTTGAAATGTTAATGTTTTTTTTTTTTTTTAAATATTCAACAAGCCTCGCTATGCCCCTCTCCTTAGATCAGACAAAATACCCTTCTATTTGAACTAGTAGCTTTATAATAAAGTGTTTATTTGTTCTAATAAACTTACAAACTTATTACATTAAATCCCATCTGCACCTCTTAATTCTGTGTTTATATTCAGAATGATTAGCATGTTGACGTGCTTTGGATGCAGTCAAGAGTGAAGAGTAGAAGGAGTCTTGCTGTGAAAAATGCTCTCTCTGTGGGCGTGGCCAAAGTACCAGCCATTAACAAGCAATTAATTTTAATTGAGCAATTTGTGTTTCACCTAATGTAGACATATGTAAATGGAAGGTGTGGAATTAATCCTAATATTCAACCCTTGACGACTGCAATGTAGTACTATAGTGAGTTAACAACGTTTCTTCTGAAATCAAGCATATTGGGAGTTTGTTACACTAGATGTCGGCACATTGCTGTGAGGATTTGATTGCATTCAGCCAAGAACATTCTTGAGGTCAGGTACTGATGTTGAGTGATTAGTTCTGGATCACAAATGCAACTCCATCATCAACCCAGAGGTACTGGATGGAGCTTAATCCCTCCAGAGAACACAGTGGAACTCAAGAGTATACCTCTCCAGCTGATGCCTGGCATTGGGCATGGTGACCTTAGGTCCATGTGCGGCTGCTTCAGAGTGTCTCATTCTATTGGTCATTGCTTTTTTGTTGAGATTATACCAGCTGGGTGACCATCATTGAACCTGTGTCAGCAATAGATGCACCTTAAAGTAGCTGAATTCACTCATTTAAAGATCTGTCTGAATTCATTTTGGAGATATGTTGCACTTTTTTAAAGTTCATTTGCCATCGTTTGTCTGTAGTGCATCTGCATGGTGAATCTGCCTGTCCACTTGAAGATTATGAAGTAATACCTAAAGCTTCTGTATGTACTGCCACCTGCTACTCGACCTGAGTGATCCATATCTGCACCTAAAGCCCTCAATAGGAGGGCTGCACAATTGAAGCAGCAAACAAAATGCAGTGGAGAATGTAGCAAAAAAAGCTGAAAAAAAAAGAAAAACAGGAAGCTGTTAGAAGCAGGCCAGGCAGTGGCAGCTGCCGAAAGCATAAAGGATAAGTGGTGCTCTGCTGGGCATTGCTCTCAGCAGAATGGGTCACGCTGCACAGGAGGAAAATGCTTCATTTAGATGTCTCCAGGACAGGACAGAAATAGAAACGGTCATTTTTTCTTAAGCTCGCTTTAAACTATGCAATAACGATGATCTTTATAGGTTTGTTGCGTGAGATGCTGCAACTGAAATCTTTGCCAAATTGTGTTGCAGACTGTGCAATATCATTTATGCTCATGTGTGCTAAAAGATTTTCTGCCCATAGGCATATGATGCAAGAAAAATGCCCACATTCTGCTTGCTCTTTTTGTTTGTTGGCTGAAAAATGGGGCCACACAACCCAAAAAAATTGCTCAGTATAATATTGGCAGTAATATTAGGCAGTAGTAGTTTGGCTAGGAAAAAACACGCATTAACAAGTAAAGAAGCAGAGTTCTGAGCTGTTTGTGGCTGGGGAAAAGATGCCCAATGTGAGCTGAGGTCAGTAGGCAGACTTTTCTATCTGTTATGTGGTAGCGCAGCCACTTCAAGCCTGGTTTTACATGGTGAAACTTCCATGCAATTTTGATCGCTTGAAACCTACATGAAACTAAATTGCATTTGAGTTGCGCAATGTAAAGCTTCCCGTAACTCAGTCGGAACTCGTCTGAAACAAGTGTCATGAAACAGCTGAACAAATTGCTGATAATGCATCACATGATCATTTCAAACGATTGATTTTGCCTGATCAGTGGACAGAACATTTTTATTTTGTCAGTTTCCTAAGCCATGACAACAAACGAGCGTGAGTTCTTCGCAACAGATGTTTCTGTAAGCAGCTGTGTTAACTAGCCAGCTAACAGCAGCAGCTTTAAACAGCATGTTTATTCTTCTTCAGCCTTCTGTTATCGTAATTATTCAGTTATTAGTTCGTTAGATTATTAATTTTCTCCCCTCTTGACACTTCCTGATTTTACAAAGTGTTCAGATTTCTTTGGGATTCGTATAATAAAATATTACAGAAGGAGAGTTGGAGGTTCCCGTCCTGAAACATTCTACTCAAACATTCATTTTTAAAGGCTTTACAAACAGAGTAAAGATTTGTTGTAAATAACTATACATAGATTAAAAAAAGATATAAATATATAGAACAGACCAGCTGTGTCAGCTAGAAAAATGTATTAAAATTTTTAAAAAGGCTATAAAAATGTTGTCAAATACGACACAGTTTACCAAAATGATAGAAGCTGCTAATGTAGCTATCTAGTGGACTAAACAAATGTGTTGCATGCAACTTTGATTGTTTTTGAATTGTGATAAGTGTCAGGTTGCGCAGAAATAATGTTGCATGTAAGTCACAACATGCAACTAGCTGCATGAAAGTTTTGCCAGCGCAAGGCAGGTCACTGTGGTAAAAAAGGTTGTTTTTTATCATTTTTTTTTCTGTGATTTTTGTCTGTGACAACATTATCGTGATGAAAATCATACAGTAAACCATTAGTAAACCTGCCTTTACTAATTTTAATTGTATTTGGTTCCCTAAAGAACCTTTCGGTTGATGATTCTTTAAAGAACCATGTCTGTGAATGAGATATGCGAAGAACCTTTTTAAAGTTGAAGAACATTTACATCAGTGAGTCATATACTCACTGACCTGTCCATGCTCTGCTCACAGATTTTTCCAGTGTTTGCAGCAGTTATGAAAGGTTACAAAAGAGTGCATTATGGGTGCAGTATGCCTAGATCAATTGATATTTCACTTTTATATTATGTGGAGGTTCTTCAAACTTTCAAAAGGTACTTCAAGCCTAGAGATCAGCTACCTGACATGAACAAAGTGTCATTTTTCAGGCCTGGTTTGGGCCAATTGTTCAGAACAATAGAGCAGTAGAACATCGTACTTGGTTCAAGCTCAGGTTTGTTTTCTAATTGATTTTTTTTTATGTAATAATTTGTTTCCTAAGCAGATTCAGACTCGTCACAGACACATCACAATTGATATTTTTCCTAGAAATGCGTCCAAGTCAAGAACCTTGTTTTTAAGCATGTGATTCAAGGTGTGAAAAGGCTCCTGTCAGAGGCTGGCCCGAGTGGGAAACTGTAACTTCAATCATCACACACAGGTCTTTGCCAAAATCATGCTGAGTGAAGAAATTAGTCCTTCTCTCAACTGCCTGACGCGAGACATTCCTTCAGGGAATTCAATTTCCCCTGCCTTTGAGGAGGATCTTAATTTAAGTCCCAATTCCACCTCAGATAAGCAATCAATTCGTAACTGGGCCACCACTCTTCAGAACAGTCTTCCTTTTTATTTTTTTCTTTAAAACAGCCCGAGACAGCAGATTAGACCTGATTAGACGCCTCAGCAGGGGGGCAGTGTCTTTACCATGCTGATGTGAAGACCGAGGCAGGGCTGGATGAGGGGAGGGTAATGAAAGTGTTTGGGGATAGTGAGCCATCCTGCATTGTTAACACTAGATTAAACATGCATAGTGACAGTTGTTCAGTGCAGTCAAAAGCAAAGCATGTCAAATTTCCACACTGTAGAGCTTTTTATTGCTTTTTATGATTACAGAATGAATGGAAACTCGGTGTCTGATCTGATCCGTGTCTCAGTTCTCATAAGTGATCCAAGTATCAGTGTTTTTTGTAAGATCTAGCCATGCTCCGCCCACAAAGGTGTTCTTTCATATCTACTTTGGCTAGTTTGGACAAGCTTTAGGGAAAACCTGCATATATTTGCCCCTTCATACATCATACGCAGTATGGTGAAAAGGTGCAGTTGCAAGGTCGATCGGTTGTTTCCTGTTGTCCAGCCATGAAAAACTATCTGTTATATATTAAAATAGCTGGTAACTAAGAGTGTAGGTTAGGTTGTTATCTAGCTGGTCCATTAGTCGGCAACATGGGGCTCTTTTACTGCCCTGTTGCGGCTCCACATTAGATTTTTAGGTAAAAATAAAATAATCCTCTATTGCAGTAAAATAGCTCTGCTGATTGTTTTAACACAGTTTAACACTAAATGGACTTAAACACTGGAGTTAATATGTAACTGCTAATTTACCCTTGAACTCTGGAGACTGGTGCGAAGACTGCTGGTCGCCATAGCAGTGACAACAATCTTGCCTAGCTAGTAGCTAACGAAAAGGCAAAGAGAGAGATTTAAGATGAACATCAATAATGTGGAGACGAATGGACATATTTGCATTTATAATCTCTCCAGCTCTTTTCCTGATACATTTATTCTGCAACGAGAAACTGACACTAAAAAGTTGCGAGGCTGAAGTCAGTTTCTCATTCAAATTGTCCCGTTCCACCTTAAATGGTGCAGCAGTTACATTTTGGCACCTCAGACAGCATTTAAGGTGGAACGGGAAAATTCGCAAAAAAGTCAAACACTGAGAGACATTTTACAGGAAACTATTCTACTTTTGAGCAAAAAAAGTGGAATAGCAAAAAAAAAGTAGCGAGAAAAGCTACTCTAGCTGAGCTAAAGTTTAAAGCAGAGCAAAGTAAGTCTGTGCTGTCGTTATATTATATTTTTAGTCTATACTAGGACATTAACTGAGACATGTTTACAGCCAAGATGGTAAAATGGACATAAAATGTTGTGGCTACCAAGGTGGTTTGATTCTTGTTGATAGGACAAAATGGCTCTTCTTAACATTTGGAACAGAGCTTCATCCCTAAAAACCAGTTTCATCTTTCACATGCATATAGAAAAGTTAAATTATAACACAATTTACAAAAAAGCACTTCATTTTCTCATTAGGTTGAATTTGAATTTGAGCTTTTCCATCATTCTGTATAGCTTGTCCAACCTTGCAACCATATCTCCAAAAAATCCATTTGTGGGAAAGGCATGGATAGGTCACTTACAGGGCAGTTCAACCAATTTGTCAACATTATTTACATTGAGATGTAAAGAAAATCATTTTGAGTGGTTTGATGTGAAATGGTTAATTGTGGAGAAACTTAGCGACTGATTTTCTTTACAGTGGTGGTGATAGGAACCAGGGGTCGCAATGTTTACAACACAAATGTAACCATTTTATTTACCATCAAAGACCACCAGTGAACCCACGTGCATCTTCTGAATTTTATCTGTAATTTTGATGATTTTAAAATAGTGGTATATCTGAAAAAATACATTATCTTTGGGGACTGTTTTGCCTCACAAAGCTTGCTCCAACACGAATGGATTTTAAATAGTACATTTTGGGACCTTCTTATCACATCTTATCACAAAACTGAAGTGAGTTGTCCTCTGTCACTGTCGTCTGTTGTGCAGTGTGTTCCCGCGTGAGCTGAAGGAGGTGTTTGCGTCGTGGCGGCAGGAGTGTGGTAACCGGGGGCGCCCCGACATCAGTGAGCGCCTCATAAGCGCCTCCCTCTTCCTGCGATTCCTCTGTCCCGCCATCATGTCCCCCTCACTCTTCGACCTCATGCAGGAGTATCCAGATGACCGTACTGCGCGCACACTCACACTCATCGCCAAGGTCACACAGAACCTCGCCAACTTCACCAAGTGAGTGCTGCTCCAAGCGTGTGTGAGATGCTGTAACATGCATCATTCAGCATGTTATGAGTTTGACTAACCCTTACACATTTCAGTTGTTGCCAGTAATAACAAAAGGATGACTATTTCTCCCTCATCGTTTATTGAAACAGGTGGAGAAATTTCTGTTGAATATGCAGACTGTAAACTTTCAATCAATGCCAAAATTTGTGTAAGAATGGAACTATACAGACCAGAGGAGTCCTGGGACTGTAGCTGAAAGCACCTGGGCAGAAGGTGCTGTGTCCTTAGCCTGTGTTATTTGTGGTGTGTGTAGGTTTGGCAGTAAAGAGGAGTACATGTCCTTCATGAACCAGTTCCTGGAGCATGAGTGGACCAACATGCAGCGCTTCCTGCTTGAGATCTCCAACCCAGAGACCATCTCCAACACTGCTGGCTTTGAGGGCTACATCGACCTGGGCCGCGAACTCTCCACCTTGCACTCTCTATTATCAGAGGCCGTAACCCAGCTTGACCAGGTGTGTGTGTGTGTGTGTGTGTGTGTGTGTGTTTGTTTGTTTTTTCATACATTTTCAAGACTTTTCAGGTTTAAGTTTAGGCTTAGATATTGTAGATATCACCACCACCACTGCAGTGCTGAGAATGATCTACCACCTGAATAATACCTACTCTGTGGTGGTCCTGACCACTGAAGAACAGGGTGAAAGGGGGCTAACAAAGTATGCAGAGAAACAGGTGGACTACAGTCTGTAACTGAAGAACTACAAAGGGTACTGAAATCACATAAAAATGTGTGTGTGTGTGTGCGCATGCAAGCATAAGTGTGCAGATTTCTAAAGTATAAGTTAAGTCCTATAGTCCACTACTTAATTAGTCCTCACTGCAAATTTACTTGACCTGCGGCATGATAGTGACCATGCCCCTAATTTCTGAGTTGTCCGCTTTGCTTTGTCTTTCAGCAAATTATTGACTCCTCTTCTCTTTGGTGTAGATCACTTAATTTAAGCCTTAGACGAGGACTTTATCACAACACACCCTGATTAATCATAAGAAATTGGGAAACACTACTTCTTTTGAAACGCTTAAATCAAATGTGTCTCACACCACAAAAGTAAGCTTGATTAAAACATCTGAGTCTGTCGATATGTTTTAGAAAATAAATATTTAATTGAGGAAAATATCCTTTCTGGGGCGAAATTTTGGACCGTGCAAAGTGTATTAATGAATGCTCAGCACATTAGCATTTGTTTACATCCCACTGGGCTAATCTCACACTGCTGTAGTGCCTGATATCAGGATCCTGCCGCGTTCGCTAACAGCCTGTTCTTCACTGCACTCCTGCTGTTCTGCTTCAGAGCACGGCCACTAAGCTGGGGCCGCTGGTGCGGATCCTGAGGGACGTGAATGTGGCCCTGACTAACCCCACAGGGGCTCCGGTGGCGTCCCCCACAGAGCGGGTGGGATCACCTAGCCTACCCAGCTGCAGCGTCTCCACCGGCCTGCAGAAACTCGTCATGGACACTGAGCTCACTGGGTAAGACTCGGCATGAGCTGGCATTATTAAAACACATCTTTATAGCTCTGACGTGTCTGTCTGCATGTACAGTTTAGTCCCAGTGTACAGCATCTACTGTAAAGAGCATCTCAGGACTGCAGTAGGGTTGGACCTAAACTCAACAGATAACCAGAATGTACTGTGTAACTATTTTGGAACAAACTGCTTAGTGTGTATGTGCTATTGGTTTAGCATGAGTTTTTTAGCTATCAATACTGTTACTTGGCTATAAAGTAAATTATACTCAAATAAAACCTGAAGTTGTAGTCAAGTTTCTATGTCAACAAATTGTAAAATGCTATTATATTCTTAACGTAGCACGTTGTTCTTATAGTTCCTTTTTACTTAAAAGCACTGCATATTGAACCAGTGTAAAATGATCCATGCAAACTGGAGCCTTTAAATTGTTAAGTAGGCTGAACATTAATTTTTTTTACAGTGTGCTGAGGTTTAGATAACAGTACTATACACTGCAAATTAAATTGAGCTCAACAAAATCTACCGTAGTGCCTATTTCCACTAGCTTTTAACTTACATAAATGATTAGTTCTACTGACTGACATCCTGTTGACAGCACCAGCAGAAATCTGTAGTTGAGCTAATCTAAGAATGTTTGATGCACTAAGTACAACTAGTTCTTTTACATTTACTGCATTTGGCTCTTATCCAGAGTGACCAACACTGTAATCACATTATAGAGGGAGGCAAATGTAGTGTTAGGAGTCCTGCCGAAATATTATTACTGGTTATGTGGGGTGCTTTCCCTTCATGTTCTAATTACAGCTACTGGTGTGATAAAAAAAACACTGTCAACAGAATTTTCAATGTTTTTACTTGAAAGTTAGTAACCTGGTTGCCTTACAACATTGAGATCAAAGATCAACAGAACATCAGTCTGAATGTTACATTCTGTTAACTTATTATTTTTAACTTTAGGGCATCTAGATTACTAACTTTTTTAAGTTAAAGCATTGAGTGTCTTTAGATGCACTTAAAAATCCGATAACTGCAGAAAATCAGATTTTTTCAGTAATCCGATCAACACGTTTATATGCACTTGAGTATTTAGATAATGGGAAAACCTTTGGTCTACGTGAGTCAGACAGTAATCTGATTTCTGCTTTGCAACCAGCCAGTAAACTGACAAAAGGAGATGTGATGTAAATGTAATGTAAAACTCAAACTTCATGCCGCGGCTTATTTTAATCATAGCGCCACTTTACCTGAAAATGTGAACATACATCATCTAGAAGATGAAGAATATTTAAATCCTTCATTTCATCAAGCATGTATTTGGTTTTGGCATTGCTCCAAAAGTGTTTTGCTGCGTCTCGCGGCAATGCTGCTTGCTTATTTCCGGTACCGTGGTCTGCGCCGCACATGTACAGACTGAGAAATCTGAAAGAAATCAGAGTAAGAGTTTACGTGCACTGAGAAGTCTGATTACTGAGCTAAAATCCAGCTCTCTTTGTCTGACTTCTTAATCGGATTTCTAGACCGATCAAAGAAATCGGGGTGTGGTGTTTGCATGACCATTTGAATAATCAGATAAATGCAGAAATCCAATTATGATTGGATTATTGAGTGAATGTAAACACACTCATTGACATTTTTACAATGCAGATCATGTGACTTTTCTGTTTGTACAATATCGAGTTTGGAACTATGCATAACTTTGCATTTGCCTTAATATTTTTACATAAAGGCACAAGGGTTAGTGTATATTATGTCTAGCATGTCCTGTTCTGCCTTTGCAAGGACTCTCCTGTTGGTGCTCGAAGAAGAAATTTAATCTAATATAATCTAATCTAATAATGTGACGTTATCACTGAACATTGAGGCATTTGACTCAACTCAGGATGAAAAGTTGGCAGAGACTCTGGAATGAACTCTTTACACATTGTTCTTCAAAGTTTTCTTCATTTTAAGCAAAGGGAAGAATTGTGTGTCACATATTTCATTAATGTGGAAATGCGCTGCACATTTGATTCAAGTAAATTCAGTCCTTCACTTTTTTCAGTGATTGAGTTTGAGATTCGTCGAGAATCAGTGCTGAGTACACTTAATACAAGCATCATTCTAGGCCATTAAAGTTGTCTGCTTTGTAACTGGCAGTTTTGCACCTGTGCTGCTTAATTAAAATGCACATCAATCAGCAAGATGGACTCAAGATTCATGATTCAGAGTTTTATTGGCCACTTGTTTTAAGTAGATTAAGATATGCATGTTTAACACTGTTACAGTTAACGTAGTAAAAACAGCAACATGTTTAAACAGTGAAACAGACACAGGTGAGAATGCAATATAACACTATGCAGCACAATAAATCACAGGTTTTACACAAACGATCGGGCTTCCTCTGTAACAGACTGGAATGACTTGCCTTTAGCTGTCCCTACTGTTGGGTTATGTGAGGGTAGATGTACTGGATAGTGCAGAGTGAGAAATGAAGGAAATCATGTTTTTTAAAGCTCTTTTGCAAAATGCATTATGTAAATTAAGCCACACTCAGAGAGCAGTGGTAACAAAGAATTAAAACTTTTATTATTTAATTATAACTTTTATATGCTGCTATAAAGGATCTTTATTATCACAGCAGCCTCCAAGCAGAGCTCCTTTGAAAACATTATAGGGCTTCATTATAGCTGCTCATTGTTTTTTGAGAGCGGCTGATATTGTCTCTTTGCCCCGCTAGAGTGATTAGTTTGCACATTCTGCAGTTTTGCATTTTCTGGCTCAGTAACTCTGTTGCTGGAAAACTGAAAGCAGCTGAAATTTAGAACACCTCGCTGTTCAGCTGATAAACTGACAGTACCAGTGTAAACTTGTGTTATTTGCGCAGGAGGCAAGTGTGTACTTCATGTCGGATTATTTTGCCTTTTGAAATATCTGTCATGTTCGAGTTGAACAGATTGATGCTAATGCACCTTTTTTGCACAGATTCTAAAAAATGGGCTCTAATTTTTGGATTTCCTACATTGAAGTTTGTTTATGATGATGTTTTTCACTTGCAATAACATTCCATTTTAGCAATACGGTGAGCAGATGCTAGGTAGCATATACAGCATCTAGGTTTATATTAACACTGTGTACATTATAAACGTATTCCCATTAGCATGTACATGTATTAGACTAATTAATGATGTGACGAATGTTATTTTGAATCAGGATACACAACTAAAATATTAATCCAAAGAAGCTGAGGTATTACTTTAATTTTGATAGATTGTTTAAATGTAAATACATATTTAATTACCTAGTCAATTACATAATTAATTAACCCTTAAAAACTGAGTAGGTTTTATTAAAATGATCAGCAAAAGTTGATCGTTCATCGTAGAGAGATGCATTAAGTTCTTGAGGCTTCAGGGGTTAAGACGAGTGCTGAATGGTTTCTCTGTAACTTGTGACTAACTTTCAATGGGCAAAGCAAACGTAAGCAACATTGCCTCTTTAAAATCTCACATTCTTGTTGGTTTTCAGTTTGTTCTGCACTTGCATTAACCAATGAAATTTTGCATTTTACTTCACTTTGGATCCAATTGCAAATGCGAATGACAGTGTTATATCCCAAACTGCCATGGTTTTGCAGAACATGTGCCTACAGACTGCAGTCAGAGGAATGCAGCTTCTAGTGCCCCCTGTAGGCTCCTATACAAAGCCTATGAGGACTAAACCAATAAATACCTGGAAAAGCATGTGTATGCTTTCATAAGAGCTGTTGGAATTTCACTATTTGATGTTTTTGCATTTCATGAAATACAAAAAATGCAATTTTTGAATTATATTGTTAAAAAATGTGTTATACCATCTCTCAAAGGTGTGTAAATGATCCCTACATCTAGGTTAGATTCTGCAGGTTCCATAGATATGAAATGCTTAAATACTGCAGTGAGAAATGGGTCCTTAAAAGATAGCAAAATATGCCCAGGAATAAAATTATATTACCTTCTTACAAACACAAATGTCATATTAATTGAATGCTTAGACAGCAACAACAGAGATGTATATCATTGAACTGAGCTAAGTTTTAACTGAGATGTCAACATTTGTGATTTTTTTCTGTGTTTGTCCTGGATGTACAGGTTGGTGGATTTCACCAGGCTGCCCTCTCCGACCCCTGAAAACAAGGATTTGTTCTTCGTTACAAGGAATTCAGTCATTCAACCTTCGCCCGCCCGCAGCTCCAGTTACTCAGAGGCCAACGAGCCAGATGTGCAGCTCCCTAACGGCAGCAAAAGCCTGTCCATGGTGGACCTGCAGGACAGCCGTAGCCTGGAGAGCGGCCCCTGCACCTCGTCCAGCGACCCTGCTAATGACCTCCAAGGCAGCGGGGTGTGGAACGCCCCTACCCTTAAAGGCAACATGGCTGCTGGGCCCACTCTGAGGAAAACGGGCCAGACACCCACCACCCCGAGCACAGAGACTGTCCCGGGACGGCCCCAGCTGCTGGCCCCCCTCTCCTTCCAGAACCCAGTATACCAGATGGCGGCCGGTCTGCCGGTGTCGCCCCGAGGGGGCGGAGCAGCTGATTCAGGCTCAGAATGCCACAGCTCCATCAGCTCCCAGGGCAACGTGGAGGACTCAGCAACTACGGGGGCCAAGCACCAGTTTGTTTCCCAAGGCAGCACAGGTGCGGCAGCTGGCGGAGGTGGTGGCAGCAGCAGTGATGAGTTTGTAAGACGCTCAGGGGAGTTCACGCGAAGGCAGCTGTCACTCACTGAGACGCAGCACCAGGCCAATGTGCCAAGGCAGAACAGTGCCGGCCCACAGAGGAGGATAGACCAACCTCCTCCGCCCACCATCACACGAGGACGCACCCCTCCCAGCATGCTTAACACCGCCCCCTACCCACGGCCCTCCAGCGGCAGCATGATGTCGTCATCACCCGACTGGCCCAGCGGCGGTGCCCGGCTGAGACAGCAGTCCTCCTCCTCTAAAGGGGACAGCCCAGAGACCAAACAACGCACCCTGCACAAACAGGTGAGTGCAGCCTGCCTTGTTTCAGCACATTTCTGGACTGGAAAACTTGGATACACAGTAAAAAGATTGGAGTTCCCTGGTTTTCCATGGGAATTGCCCTGTTTTGTTGCAAATACAAGTATAAAATGATTCTAATATAATGCTAGTACTTTTGTAGATTTCGAATGAAGCTGTAAATAATTTGAAATGTTAAATATGTCCAAAATGATGAACAGATGATTCCTCTACGATCAAAAAAGCTGTACAAGATGGAGAATAATGAGAAGGTATAATAAAAATTAATATCCAGTTTATTAATTTTTGATAGGGAATGTGCATTCCAACTCGTAACGTATGGCTGAAGGTTTTACCTTTTTAGATGATAACGGTGGTCTTGCACAAAATTGTCAGCACACCTAGGAGCACATTTGAAAACACTTTATTTAAAAATGTTTTATTATTCAAAAATAGCCAAATTGGTAGGTTTCCGTGCCTGAGTAACTGGGGCTGCCTCTTCAGATGAGCTAATGAGCTAACCGGTGGTCTTTTCTCCTCGGTGGACGATATGCCAGCATGTTGCTTTTTCAGCAAAATATATCTTCTCTGTTTCTGGACCTAACTAACTTCGGCTAGAGTAGTTAGCCTCGTTAGCAATAAAGCCACGCTATCTCTGACTTCTGTGTCTCGGAGGCCTGTCAATTATTACACAATCGTTTCACTCTATACTGTATATAAATTTTGATAATGTAAGTTATTATTGAATAACATGACAACTTTTGAATGGTTGTGTAGCTGATGTGAAAACTGTTTGCAAGAACTTTCATACAAGTTTATTTTTCACTTGGCTTAATACAACCAGTACCATCGTTCACACGTACAGTATATGTGCGACAACTTAATTGGTTTCCCAGTAACTCGGGAGCTAATGAGTGTTTTTGCTTGCTGGTGGAACCGCACAAGGCTCTTAAGCTGAATTCAGTGGAGCATTCGTCTCACAGTTGGACGAGGGGGGAATGGAGCAGACAGGCCGAATTAATAGCTGGAGCGGAGACACTTGGGTAGTGATTAAATGACTGCACAGATTGTCCAAACTGTTTGTCTCAAGTCTGGCGAAATGAATCTTCATTAAAAATTGATCAAGCATTTCCCAGCCGGCCCGAAGTGCTGTTGTCACCTTGAAAAGTTTTAGGACAACATCTAATGCCTTTCTGTCTTCTAAATGCGAGCATGCGCCAGCACGTACATGCCCGAAAGCCGAGCCAAGTCATTCAAGTAAACAAACAAACAAAATGTTAATCAAACAAGCAGTCCAGATGCGGCGCAATTAGGATGATTACTTTTAAAAGATTTGCAGTTTATCTTCAGAGTTTGCCTTGCTGTGTCCTGAGAAAGCAAAGCCAAAAAAGCACACAGCATATTCATACAGGAGAATAATAAAAAATATTATATATAATATTATATAAAATGCCTATTGTATCCCGAAAAGAAAAAAAAAACTTGTTCTGATTAGACTTGTTATTTTCTTGTTATTTTCACTGTTTACCGTTTGCTCGACTAGCTAGTATTGTGTAGATGTGCGTATTCATGCATGTAAGTGTGCTGGGTTTGTTCTATCTGGGTTTTAACCAGGCCCCGTCTCCAGTGAATCCCGGTGCTCTGGACCGCACTGCTGCCTGGTTGCTAAATATGAATGTGCAGTATCTGGAGCAGGAGGGAATTGACCCAGATTCCAGACACAGGGAGGACCTCCCAAACAAGGACGAGCTCACACAGACTGAAAAGGTAAAACTCACAGCACTTATGTAAGTAAAACACCATGATGGCCTTGAGGGACCAAGCACTGGTGCAGCATAAAATATGCAGTTCTGTCATACTTGGTATTCAGTTGGTTTCTGTTTATGCACAAAGTGCCCGAGCAGAGGACACACGGAGTGAGGTGGGGGGGTTCCTCATTCTGCTGTTTTCTTAATTTAACTGTGGCTTATCTTCGGGCAACCGGCATGCGAGCCAAATGTGATTTGTATTCACTGCATCAGTATGTATTAAATGTGTTCATTTTATTGTCAGAAACAAAGCCTTCCAAAGCTTCTGCTTCAGAGAAACTGAGGTTTATTCGTTTGCTTATCCGCGTCCTTCTTACTAAAAGGCAAGTGGGGATTGTCAGTTTATTAGAAACACCTGCCTACCTTGTAGCTCATTGGCCATTTCATCAGAAACCATATAGGTGCACTTTGTAAGTTTACAGTTACTAACTGTACCATTTGCTGCACAGTTTATCAGCCCCACTCTTCAATGGACAGGAACAATTAGAGGTCTGTTACCCAACCTGAGCCTGATGGAGTCTCACAAAATGTTGGGTTTCAGACCGGGGTTGGGCTGATTTTTCACATACAGCATCAGTCTCGGGTTAGTTTTCAAAAGAGTGCAGTAGATTTGTTTTTATTCGAAGGAATAAGCCTTTTAATATATTCTAGTACCCATGTGTCAAACGGGAGGCCCGCGGTCCAAGTCAGGCCCGTGACACAGTCTGTGGGCCAGCGGAGAAGAAGAAAAGATGCCTGGTGTCTAGTTCAAGCAAAAAGGCAGTTCTAAAAAAACTACTGAAAACAATTTATTTTTATTAAGAATTAATTTTAAGTATTCATTGCCTATTTTGCTGGTGAAGTTTTGGCATATTTTGAATAAACAATGGCCCATTCAGGTCATGGCAAAATGTTAAGTAAAAATGAAATAAAAACACAGATTTGCTGAGATTTTTTAAATGGCCCTTTTGGTGGTTGAGTTTGACACTCCTGGTCTAGTATGTGTAAAGCAAAACTGGTTTTACTAGCTGTCCACCATGAACAAAATAAAAAAAAGACTAAAGGGGAATTGTTTAAACCTCCAGATAAGTGAGGCTTGGAAACATCATGACCTGGTCGTTTGATTAGATAAAAACTCTTTGATCATGTACAGCATAGAGCTTGCAAGAGTATTTTAAGCTCTAATAGCAAAAGGACTGGCACGTCATCTCTTTAGTGACACATTTACCATGGATGCTGCCATTCCGCAGCTGCTACTAGCCAGAAACAAATCAATTCCTTGCACAATGTCAACTACAGAAAAAAACTCTCAAGTAAGTCAGTAAAGTTTTTTAGCTCATTTTCTCTGTCATCTTAAGTGCTTAGTAACAAAGCAAAGCACTATAAAACTATGTAGGTGATAATATATTTCTGACAGCTCATGTGAGCAGGTTTGGATCATGTCTGGGTTCCAAATGTGGCTGTACCAGATTTGTCTCAGATTTACAGCTCAGGATTGGGCTTTTATTTCATGCTTGAGCAGACCTTTATTATTTCTGTGGTCATACTGTTATTTGGGCTTTTTTGCATTTCAGCATCATTAGTAGGTTGAGAGAGGTCCTCCACCCACAAATCCAGCCAAGAGTGGCTCTGTGGTTAGAAACTGACTATTGAGGCTTAGAAGATGATCAACACAAATTGTACATGTAAAAAGATTAGCTGCAATCCTTAGCTATACACCAGATACACCAGATACAAGGTAGGTGTGCCCATTAAACTGGCCAGTTGAGAGTTGATAGACATCATTCTGGAATTCTGATTCCCCAAGCTTGGATAGCTGAGCTGAAGAAGACAGATAGCAAGATGGACAGAGAGAGCAAGAGAAAGAACATGAGAGAGAGAGAAAGGCCTTGTTAGAGATTGCCCTGCTGTCCTGTTCTTTAATGAATGATGAATCCAACACGGTGTTCTTAACAGGCACACCCATGGGCTCGGAATTGCACCATGGGAGGAACTTGTGGACTTTGATAGCACCATATTACCTCCACTGTTCTCTACAGGGAACAGCTATTATACATACACTGCCCAATGTGGGCACCTTGCCTTCTTTTGAAGTTTGCCAAGTAGTGTTTGATTTCTGTGGTTATGTTTCAGTTAAGTACAAAGAACACCTGCAAAAGTTAACATAAAACAGCTGTTCATTAATAATTTGGCTGTATTTTATAACACTCAGCTTCATGTTCATCAAAGGGTCTTGCATGGTATGGAGAGCAAATTTGTCAAATAATTGTTTGGCAGTTTTTTTTTTTCAAACTATTGTTGACAGCACCTACTAAAAGTCCTCAAAGTTGATTAAACCCCTTTTTACAGTAGCTATAAAATGCAGTTTCCACCTCTTTGGAGGTCCCTCAGTTATTGAACAAAGCATTTTTTTCTTCTTTATTGTCTTCGTAAGGGAGCAGGTCAGTATTATGAAAATGTTTTTTTAGTTTAAATGCTATTTCTTACTGTGTCGATTTTTGTTGTCACAATTTTTGTTGTCACAGTAGACGATTCTCACCTCTCATTGCTCACTAGAAGTTCAACACAGAGTCACATTTCACACAGAGAGCCAAAAGTGTCCAGTTAAAAATTTTTTTTTGATTAATTATTAAAAAATCTGTAAGTCAGTTTCTGTTCTGCTGGCAGAGTGGCCACAAGGGGGCCTGCAGAAAGAGGCTACACACCTCAAAGGTTTGAGTGCTGATGAGTACTGACATGACAATGATATGGTGTTTGGGGATAAATTGTATGGGGGTTGACATTATTCCCAGGGTAGATCTGCTTTTGCAAAGAAATACAACAAAATCTAAGCATCATTCCTTTTTATATGTTCGATTATTCCAAACCCAAACACTAATATCACTCTTATTAAACACTTTGAAAAGCTAGATGTCCCAAAACCTTTGATGGGTGGTGTAATGCTGTAGTTGTTTTTTGCCCCTACACAGATTACTCAGACTGAAAAGAAATTCAGTCTGACTTAAACTGTGGAATTTAACCCTATAAGCATCTCATATCTTCTTTTATTCAGTTTGCACCCTTCTGTCTTATATCACTCCACTGTTAATATACAATGCTACAACCCCTGTTTGTATGTGCACTGAATAAGTTATTATCAGCTGTACAGAGTAGCCTTCTCCAAGGCCAGTGTGCATCTTCAAGGTCAGGCGTGTCTAAGATAAATTTTTCAGAGGTAGCTTTTCCCAGTGTGACTGTTTAGTCTCACTTAGTTAGAGTGAGTAATGTTGAGAGAAGATAACTCTAAGAACGGTCAGATATGGTATCCCGGATGATGTTAGGTTCAGTCTCAGGGTGTTTTGACCTTGTCTTTAACCTTGGTCTTATACAAAAGTGTTATCTGAATTGTCGTAAAGTGAATGTTGCATATAAACATACTTTCATGTCATAGTTATTAGTACGAATTTAAATTATTTTGATTCTCGACTTTCTGGCTTGTTATTAACCCTTACTTTTTCATGATGTTTTGAAGCGAAATTAATTCTTTTTACCAAAAGAACGCAGTGATTTGAGTTTGATAAACAGAGTTCCTAATCTCCACATCATTTCTGCTGAGACCTCCCCTTGGCTGTGATGAGTCCACTGCGTGTTGGGAGCTTCTAGCAGTGCTGAGACGTACACCAAGTTCTTTTTAGGCACAATTATGACTGATTTTTCTAATTGCAGCTTATTTTAGTATTCACTAATTGGGCCATAGACATTTGCTTACATTTGATTGAATTATGTACATTTTTACAAGTGTTCAAAATATCAGGAAGATATTGAAACAGATCAGACAAGTCAAGTCAAGTGGTCTTTGTCATTCTTCAGTATATCTTGTATGCACTGGAACAAAATGACCTCAACATATTTCCAACTAGAATGTGCTTGAATGCAAATACTTCATAAGTACTTCATAAGTGAGAAAAAGGACCAAATCAAGTGAAAGCAACACTTGTCCATGTGAGAAGGGTACATAAAAATGATCCTCAGTAACAATCTCTGTAAGGATATTTATGACAGTGAACCTTGTTGTGAGAAAGTGTGTACTCTTCTTTATATTTTGGACATGTGTTCATATTTTGTAGGAGAATGAGAATTACTGAAAACTAGTGGAAAGACTAGGTGACGTCAAATCATTTGGGAATATGACATTTTGTAATAATCTAATAATCCAATAGAAAGCTGAACACACATTGTTGCCACTAATGCAAAGCATAATCTAATTCAAACACTGAGCAATGTTTGAAAATAAATTAAGAAATTCTCAGATATATAAATATGACCAAGTCCCAACCAGTCAACACATGTGGTCACTGCTGTGGACACTGGTCTGTATAAAGTTGAGTAGCAGCCATGCATAGTTGTACGGAAAACCTGCTTTGGCATTACTAGTGGAGGATAATCTAATCAAAATAATCTAATCTAAGAAGTAAGCATGCAGTTTCTGGTGGCAGCAGAGGACAAATGGCTATTGCTGGGTTAATTACTGGTATTTTTAACCTTTCATGGATAGTATGTAAGTGGATCTCCAGATGTCTAAAGAACAAAATCACAAATGTGTACGCATCACTTTTGAGGAGATTCTTTATACTCTTTCATACTTTTCAAACTCTTTCAGGCTTTTAGCTCAGATCTCTTAAATACTCACTCTGTCTATCTGTTTCTTCCTCTCTCTGTCCTCCTCCTTCTGCCTGCAGTATCAGCAGGAGATAGCTATGCTGCAGGACCGCCTGCGTCTGTCTGCAAAAAAGCTGGAGGACTATGAGGTACGTCTGCAGGGTCAGGATGAGCAGACCCAGAAGATGCTACTGGAGTACCAGGCTCGGCTGGAGGACGCAGAGGACCGTCTGCGCAGGCAGCAGGAGGACAAAGAGCTGCAGATGAAGAGCATCATCACCAGGTGATTGTTGTCGAAGTAGCGCAACAATATCTCAACATAGACATGTGTATCCTGGTAAATACATCCTGAGTAGAAAGTAGAAGCAAAGTTGCCAGTTTGTTGGTAGACCTACCCTGCACCTACACTCATTGGCCTTTTTATCAGAAACACCTACCATACAGGTGCACTTTATAGGTGTACAGTTACTGACTGTAATCTAACCCACCTATCAACAGAAAGGGACCAACATAGGACCACCACTGACTGGATATTATTTGGGTGGTGGGCTGTTCTCAGTACAGCAGTGACGCTGACATCGTAGTGCCATGGTAGCATGTAAATGAGGCATTTGTGTTGCTAGAGTGTTAAACCCTAACGGCCCCTGCTGGGTTGAGAACAGCCCCACCTCTCAGAAATATGAGCATCCTGTGGGCAGAAACTGACCATTGATGAAGGGCTAAAAGATGACTAAGGTTAGGGTAATGTAAAAAGGATGGCCTGTAGTCTCTGTATACCTACCAGATGTTACCATTACCAAAAATGACGTCTTGGCAAGTGAAATCATCTTAAATCTGGTCAGTATATATAACGTTTCTCATTTTGAGATAAGAAATGATCTGCCAATAGAATAATTTCACCAGATAAAAACAATAAAAAAATATAAAAAATGTCTAGACATTGGTTGAATAATCTTGTAATACTATTACAACAGCCACATATTGATGAGTTCACTTGCAAAGACTTTTTTGCAGTGTACTAGTGAATGTAAAGAATGTTTTGGACATACTTGACTTAGATTTTCTCATCTGTGTTTGTCTTTTTCTAAGTCTTTTATTTCGGTCTGTTGCAGGTTAATGTCAGTTGAGGAGGAGCTGAAGAAAGACCATGCAGATATGCAGGCCATCGTCGACTCTAAACAGAAAATCATCGAAGCCCAGGTAGACACAAGAAATCAAACATTGCTCGAGAAATCATGACCGGCCCCACTCACCCGAGCTTGTCCATCCTTGATTTAGTTTCTGCCTGGACACAGAGGCAGCTTTTATTGCCAGTGAGAAATCACTTTCATAAGACAACAACACCCCCCGGTGTTCAGAATGAAATCACCCCGAGGAGAAGCGCGTCCCTTTATGACTTAGGAAAAAGACGATACAGCAATGTTCAGGCATAGAGTTTAATGGTGCAATGTTTCCTTGTATTTCTACCTCTTAATAGAGTTAGAATATAGAATATATTCCCCCAATTACATTTCTGTTGAGCATATTTATTTTATTCGTTCATTATCCGCTTAGGGAAATATACAGCTTTGTTTGCAGATTTCGATGTGATTATATTGCTGTGCTTCTGAGGGAAGTCTTCATATGGTCATTTGGTGTTCAGTGCTTTGGGTGATTTGCCTGTTGAGTTATGGTTATTGCTTATTTATTGCAGGTAATATCTCACTGAGCAGTGTTAGCCTCTTTTGTCACACAGACTTGTCAAATGCACATGTAATATATGGAAAATGCAGTTTAGGAAACATGATTAAATAATATATATTGGAAGTTAAAACAATCAGGGATGGACAAAGCACAATAAAAGTACTCTAAGTATTCTATCTATATTTTATTTGAGGAAAAGTACAAAAATACTCACTTGTGAATGAACTTAAGTATCAAAAGTAAAAGATATACTATTATTTTGATGAACAAGTTTTTCATATCTGTAACCATGCATGTCTCGTTAATAGAACTTGTTTATCAAAATAATATTACACATGATGTACAGTCATATGCAGAGGTTCAAATTTGTTATATTTTTCAGGTAAAAATATGTGCACATTTTAATGCACAGTTACAGTTTTTTGCTGAATTTAACACACACACACACACACACACACACAAATTATCTAGGCCACTTGTCCTCCTCGGTCAGGGGGGGTGCTTGAGCCTATCTCAGTGGTCACTGGGTGAAAGGCAGGAAACACCCTGAACAGGTCGCCAGTCAATCACAGGGCAGACACACAGAGATTTACATTATAGATACCTAGGGGCAATGCAGTGTAGTGTCAATCTTTCGCATACAACTGTACAATAAATCACCAAAGTTTTTTCACTTTTTTTTTCACAAGTACATTCACTAGCAAGTACTTTTGTACATTCACTCAAGATAAAATATAGATAGGATACTTGTCATTTTTACTGGAGTAAAATTTTACCAACAGTACATCTACTTTTACTGAAGTACTGAAGTATAAATCTTTGTTTACCCTGTCAACACTCCACCTACAAATGTGCTCTTTTAGGGCAGCTGTTGTGAGGCTGGACAAGCTTTACATAACATTGGCAAAGATTTATTTCAAGTGTAATGAGAAAATTGTAGCGATCTTTATTTACATTCATTCCATAACATTGAGTTTCCAGTTTGAAATGCTGCGCCACTGAGGTGTTGTGTGCTGTTGTATGCTAACTGAATCTAGGCAGATTGGAAACGAAAACTAATTTGCTGTCATGGTAACATTAGCTCAATTAAATAAATATCATTTGAAATTAATAACACTCAAAAAATTGTTAGTTTCACAAAAATCCAACTTCCTTAATAGATCCATCATTCTGCAAAGCTCGTAGCTTTGAAAGAACACATCTGTGGGTGGATCACGGATAAGTCAGTGACTCCAGGGGAGGACATAACAGTTTTGGACAAGCCCATTTGTTTGGTCCCTTAAACACTCTCTCTCTCTGTCTCTAGGAGAAGCGCATAGCGTCTCTGGATGCGGCTAACGCTCGGTTGATGAGTGCGCTGTCTCAGCTGAAGGAGCGCTACAGCATGCAGACGCGCAACGGCATCTCGCCCACCAACCCCAGCAAGCTGCAGATCACAGAGAACGGCGAGTTCCGCAACAGCAGCAACTGCTAGCAAGGCCACAACACCCTGCGAGGGACAAGGGCTATGGGTAAAACCACCAGTGGAAAAACAATCACTCTCTCTGGACTTTAACAACTTTAACTCGATTAAAAAAAAACACTTGTTCTTGAAGCTATTAGAAGTCATTCTTATTAAGTGTGAAATGTAAAATCTTATGTAAATGGCTATAGATTTCATAATCGCTTTGACAGATGAATTTGATCTTGGTCTTAGTAAACAGAATGGAGTGAAATACAAATAACCTGAGAAACTAGGTCTATGACGTTTAGCTACTGCGTCAACTCTGTTTTTAAGTAGACATGATGTCACTTGTATGGTTTGTTGAGTTGTGTCTGTTTTTAGATGAACAAGCCAAGCAAAGATGTCAAATCAGATGGATCCCATTACGCGCGTTCATAGCCCTTGTCACTAAGGACACTGAACTTAACGTGTTCATAAAAAATGTGCATATTTGCTTTTCATTTCACATTTAAAGTTTACTAGTTAGCAGCATGTTGATAATACAAATGTATATCATTATTTGTCAGAGCACTTTTTTTAAGTGTTTTATGATTTTGCATATTTTCTGGTAGGCAAGAATCACTAAAGGCAAGCTGTTCCTTTTTGATACATTTGTACATTTTCCTGTATACATTTTTCTTTTCTTGCCTAAAACCTCTTTTTTTGCATGTCTCGAGTCAGACCAGGGCTAGCAGTAGCACAAAAAGCTCTCTTTGTTACAAAACTGCTCATGGTAATGAGAGACCTTTCAAATCCACGTTTGCATTTGTTGCATACTTTCTGTATGTGCGTACATATTAGTCTAATTAGAGGTGGTTCGCCTCATTGATGTACATAAAACATTCACGTTGTCCTTTTTGTTTTTTAAACTGTCTCTTGAGAGAAGAGAGGTAAACGAAAGGCTTTTTGTACAGTGTATATTCCTATTTGCCGTGTTCAGTTCCGCAGTGCTGTATTAGAAGTCTAAACTGTTGAGCTATTAATTCAGGTGCTGCTTCTAGGCACGACAGCGCTCGCTGCACACCCTGAACCTCCGCAGGTTTTCCTCCTTCATGATCCGGCTCTCCAGCTGTGCTGTGGCGTGGGTAGATAAATGCTTACTGATGCTGCTTGTCGTTCTCGTGTAGGGCGGAGGTTTCCTCCAGAAAAAAATACCCCAAACTCATTGGCGTCTGGCCCTCTCCGTCTGGCTCTATGCACTTTCTAGCAGTAGAATGCACTCCGTAACCAAAACCCGCATATATGGACTCATAATAAAGGCTATCTGCTCACAGAGACATATTAAACATGTACAGCGTTGGTCAGTCCTATAGAATAATATATAGAATAGCGTGGAAGCGAGGATGCTGAAGGTACAGGTACAGGTTGCATTCTTCACTTTTCCTCCACAGCACCTGTTCTCAGGGCAGCCATAGCAGTTAACACAGCATGACTCTAATTAACCCATCTATTCTCTGCCCACAAACACGTTCTTTCATAGCGACTTCTGCTTGGTTGAACACGCTTTACGGAACAGTGGCATAAATCTTATTCAACCTATTAGAAACTGAAATCAGTTTACATCTGAAAACTTAAATCATTCACATTGGAGCTTTACAGTGTTTGTTTAGTGATGCTACATTTGACACCATGCTAACATTAGTCTGATTATACTCACCATTTCTGAACTTTTGGGGGCCTTAAGAGGGGCCCATAATCATGCTACGACATTTTGGTACTGGTGTAGCAGCAGCATTTAAATACAGTGTGATTATACTTACCTGATTCATGTTATTTAAATTGCAACACAGATCTGCCAAAATCAAAACAATAAATTGGCCGATTGCCGATTTTGTGTTCTGGGCAAAAACCAGCTGATTCCAGTCTTGGCTAGTTCTGACTCTAATATTTTGTATGCAAAAATAAAAGGCAATTAACTTTTTCATATTGATTAGGAAAGTTTAATAAAGGCTAACACAGTAAAGGTAAACACAGTGAAGTAATTGCGTAAAAAGGAAACTGGAATGCTTAAACAGCTGAACTGAACTGTCTACAGAAATAAAATAAAATAAATACAAATAAAATACATTACAATGTAATTTCTGCTTTTTTGATATTTTTTTAAGTCACCAGCAGTGTCTTCCTAAAGTATTTGTTCTGTCAGCATATCGTCACTGTCAGGACAAAACCTTGCAACACGAAGCTGTGTGTGAACATTTCATAATAAATAGACCGATAGAAATGGTACAAAATTACTTTCATTAAATGATGTTAAATTAACATACATTAAAAGTTAAGGTGATTTTTCCTTCTGCTGAAAAGTTACCATTCTGTAGATATTTTAACTGGAGAGGTTTTTGCCTGACAGTGTCAAGAGTATCTATCAATATTTATTTATATCGCTGCTGTCAGAACAAAACTTTACAGCTCCATAATTATAACTTTAAAGGAGAAGGAAAAAAACATACTGTACATTTAATGTAAGTCAATGGAGGCAGACTTTTTTTTTTAAGTATATTTTGGAGATATGGGATTTTTTTCTAACAGCAGTGAGATATATAGACAGATGATAGATGTATAAAATAGGCTTTAGGTACTTTGTAGCGGTCTGATGTGAATAATGTAGGTTTCTCATTAGGCTAAATATAATCTTTGCCAATGTTCTGTTAAGCTTGTCCAACATACCAACAATTGCTATGATGCAACAAATTTGAGGGCGGAGCTTGGACAGGTCAATTCCACAATTCCGTCTAGCCTGCTGAGAAGGCTCCTCCTCTCTGGAGATGCACACTACTTTTTTGCAAGCATTAATAAATCGTCTCCCGCCGTGTTGACTTTTCAAGCTGAGGTGAACTGGGATTTGTGTCAGGTTTTATAGAAGATGGTTTAAGGCTGACAGTTCAGTCATGCTATTTTAAACATTCAGCTGTGGGAGGGAGAAAACGATTGTGAGAGAGAAAAAAAAGCTTGTGTGTTTGGTTTGGCTGAAAGCTTCATACGGGCCAGGTTACCGTTACTCCATATCTTACAGTTCTTGGAATTTGTTTGAATTTGTTTTTTGCTCCCAACTTGTAATTGTGAATTTATTTTTAATTTATGTTTTAAATTATGTCCAGATCATTTATTTATTCCAGTGTATATTTTGTCCACCTATCCTGAGTGTGAGAGTGTCGATTGAGCTGAATGCTGGATGTTGAAAAAGTGCAGAGAGGATTCTCAGTACTGCAGGACTAGAGTTCTGATTAAAGTGGTCTTAATGTGCTCCTTCCATTAAACCTCTAATTCCGAATATTTTGTTTACAGAGAATATGAATTGTGTTATATATAAACCTATAAAGCGTTGCACATGAGCTTCCTCTGTCCTCTTTATCTGTTGAAGGCAATAGTACTGCACATACATGCCATAAAGCTCCAGGATTACAGTAATACGCTTCTCCCACCGTGTGAGGAGCACACTCTGCTGGGCTCTGTCACACTGGGTGAGGCAACAATCACCTTCTCCTTTTTTCCCCTTCGGCATGCAAAAAATCTCAGCATTGTTTTCTAACATCCCACAGATCCTCCTTTTGTATGTATGTTTAAAAGTAATGTTTGCAAGTTTGCTTCATGTAAATATGTCAAGAAAAACATAAAAAACATACCAATATATGGAGAGTCATTTGTGTTAAAGAGAATGTTCTGTGCAATTAATGTACAATTGCCACTAGAATTATTAAAGTTTTATTTAGCTATTTCAAGGTTCTGTCATTGTTGTTTGTCAGATTGAAATACAGTCTATTGAAAAATAAAAATGGTTTATTTGTGTAAACTTATCAAAAGATACAGACAACATGTATTTACTGCTTATTGGATGAGTAATGATACTCCACACACAGATATTCAGTAGTAATTAGTGGTTCTGAAACTGGTCCTTAGAGCCCACTGGACAGTCCACGGTTTTGCTCTAGACCTATGCATTGAGAGCTAGGTTGGAGAAAGTATGTGGACCATCCGGGGGGCCCTGAGGGCTGGTTTGAAAACCACTGTTCTGGGTCTCGCACTGGTCTGTCTGGTCTGAAAAAAAAAATCTAGGGGAGACTACATTACTCCTTTAAGACTGTCAAAACATAAGAAAACAGCATTTTAGAAATGAATGAAGACTAAAGGGGCAACACAGAAATCCCCCAAGTGTGTAACCACCAACACATTATTATTAAAGAAACATTTTGAACATTACCTGTACGTTTATGTATTATCTAGAGATGTTCACGGGTACTCAAGTACTCAGTCAACTGTTTGAGATGCCAGTATTCAAATCTCTGTTCGGGTATTAGTTTCATTATATTGCTGGGAGACAGAGAGAAAATACAAATAATTCAATGAAATCTTGCTGCTGTCGGAACAAAACCTCGGATCTCCATTTCTGTCATTTTTTAGTTTTTTTTTACATAAGTAGAAAATGCCTGTTGACCTTTTCAATAAGTGTCAATTTTATGATGATTGGACCAAAGGAAGTGGCCCAAAGTTCCCTCAGGTTCCATTGACTTACATTAAAAGTAAAGTATGTTTTTTCCTTCTCCTGTAAAGTTATCATTTCGGAGATGCGAGGTTTTGTCCCAACAATGGCGATATTTATAAAAAAACACGAATGTGGCAGGGGGCGTGGCTGGCAGAGCTAACTGACTAAATAACCTTAACTTTAACTGATGTTCGTTAGGTCCAGAAGCTGAACTTGTGACCAGCTGTGTTAGCTCATCTGAAGAGGCAGCGTCTGTCAAAGTCTTGAAGGAAAACTCTGTTCACTCGGCGGCCATCTTGGCAACACCATCCGGCATACATGACCAGACTCCTCTCTCTGAATGAGAGACCAAAATACTCAAAACTGCCAAATTACTGTTTCAAAAACAGTTAAAATCACTGATAAAATCTGACAAAAACTCATACCTATTTTCACACCTAACCTAGTTTGTAGTGTTTGGCTGAATAACGAACAAAAAACGAGTTTTTCGGGTTGTTCTGGCTACTGCGCTTGCGCAGATCTCCACAACCAGGGTGGGCTTTTCCCGCTCGCGGCGTAACCAGCAAGCTGATTGGCTCTTTTTACTGAAGGGCGGGATATTCTCCGCTAACAGACGCCATGTTGAGTGTTGGGAGCTTTCCATGTCATATTTCAGCCACTGACTGTCTCTCATTTATAACGGCTCTGCTTTAATTAGCGTTACTCACCCAACACGAGGACCTACCGGTTCCCCTCAGCTTTTATTGAATAATAAAACGTTTTAGAAAGTGTTCCTCTGTGTGCTGCTACACTGATATCACCCTAAAGGTAAGCCTACAGCAGATCCTCAAATATCATAATTAGGTCAAATGCACATCCCTGGTATTATCTTAATGTTTTTCTTTGCAGTATTGGAAATGGTAATCTGACTTTGCTAGCGCCTCTGTGCGATTCTATGTTAGCACTAAGATAAGGGTGATTTACATGAGTATTTTTGGGGCTGCTTGAGATTAAACACAGACATCTTAAGCTTGTAAAACATATTACATGTTGTATTACATCTTATTTGAAGCTCATAACATCTATTTACCTTGTATGTGACTTCAGTGACTCCTACAGAAAAGAGTCCTGACGTACAGCTGCCACTATTTCCCAGTTCTAATATTGGGTCTTCAGTCCAGTCCAGTTTTCTGTTGGGTGCTGCTAGAATTGAATCCCTTCGTTTCCAATGAAAATATATAATGAAATAAGAGTAGTAAACAATACAATACAGGCAGAGTTTAAACACAAGTATGATGATTCTATTAAAGTGAACTGAAATTAGACACTTTTTTTATTTCGCAATGACATTTTTTTCTGAAGGCCTCGAAGACCCTGAGGGTTCTCCACAGGTGATACTGTAAACCATGGTAAAAGGTAATTATCTTGATATTTATTTTATTATTGGCACATGCCGAAATAATACAGATGTTTTCATTTCGATGTGATTTTCGATTCCGAGGTCAGTATTGTATTTGATTTCTAACACTTTGTGTGTTAATTTCTTGATTCAGAGCTTTTATACGTGTATACAAATTACACTTAGTTATACAGATGTACAGCTTATTCAGAGCTTTAAATATATATGATACAGATTGGTTTAGTTCAGCTAGATAAAAATTCTCAAATAGGCCTTTCTCAAAGTGTACTGTTTCAGATATTTACAATTTATAAGCAGCTTCAGAAAAAAAAAGTGCAGTTACTTTAGTGAAATGTACTTTTAAAAGCATTCTAGAGTTTAATTACAAAGTGTAAATAAAATAATAATAATAATAATAATAATAATAATAATAATGGTGGGAGGTGTAAAATGCTAGCTTAGGTATTGAGTAGAGTGTTTATGGTAGGGATCAGAGATCAGCTCAGTCATTACAAAGGTTCAGTATGAACGTGCATTATTTGGTGGACTGTTGACTCATATGTGCACTGTAAAGCCTTGAGTGCCACCTAGTGGTGATTTTATGCAAGAGCGTGCATCAGCCAAAAATAATGGGGCAAAATGTAATTAAAAACATGAAAGTAAAGGCAAATACCAGACATTTTAGGCCATTTAAAATTCCTGGCCAGATGCATTTTTAGGTCCCAAAAAGTAGACATGTCCTGGAAAAGAGAATATATGATTGCCCGAAGTCTCTCTCCTCTTTTAAGTTCTCGTAGCTGTTGAGTTCCTCTCTTGGATCATCATCAGCTGCAGGTGACAGGTCATTGAAATTTTGACAGCTTTCATCTGAAGCTTGTGGGAAATCTGAAAGCTCGAGGCCTTTGCTCCTCCAGGATTTCAGGGACACATTACACACATTGTACAGAGGAGAGAACATCACACAGCCTGACCTGCTCTGAGGGACGACAGATTCTCCTCAGTCACTAATCCAACGCCTGCAGCACTGCACATGCTTTACTGACTGAACTCACAGTTATACTTAGCTGATGGACATTTGTTACTCATCAGTGTATTGTCATGTTCAGTGCTGGTCCCTATCTATGTATATCTAATCTCTCTCTCATGTATATGTGTGTGTGTATGTATATATATATATATATATATATACATACACACACACATATACATACATACAGAGAGAGAGAGAGAGAGAGAGAGAGAGAGAGAATAACCTCATAAAAAAAAAGTCAATACACAAAAGTAAATACATTTGTATTTAAAACAAGCACACCGTTGTCCAGAGTAAAGACTGGTTTCTTACACCCACGGTCAGATTAGGCCTCTAGAAATAAACAAGAGTCTTCATTCTCATTGTAGTTTCAACTAAGCCTATAATTAACATATCTATAAAAGAAACTTTTTATTCAATAAAAAAGTTTTTTATTAGAACAGCACATAATTCACAGTTCTCTAATAAATATATTAATTACACTGAAATATTTTCCCATTTCAGCAAATAGAATTACATCTTTTATATTTATCCTGACCAACAGTGCCAGAACAGGATTTACATCCCATTAGAAAATACAGTAAAAATCACAGTGATCTGCCCTTACGCCCAGTTATCAGTAGCTGATTATCAGTGACTATTATATTTCAAAGCAGCAGAATTTTCAGTAAACTCAGAACCCTAAACAGTGTAAAGACATAATTCCCAGTTGTTCAAGTAATTGTACCTAAGATTTCACTCCCTTTTTGCTTTAAGTCAGTGTGAGTGGAGGGCTCATTGTCCCCCAGCAGTAATGGCCTGCAAACTGTTGGTTCTCTTCAGGATGTTAGGGACGAACAGCAGCCCTGACGCTCTCTCAATGCTCTCGATTGGCACCAGGAAGCGCTCCAGTGGAATCTTCTCATCTACAGGCATGTTGGGCATCACATAGGACCGCAGCTCCACCTCCCCACGCCGGTTCTCCAGAATCACCACCTTAAAGAAGTGAGTCGGCACTGCAACATGGTTCTTCCCGATCACCTGATACTTCACATACATCTTCCCATCCAGCTCCTGTCTGGAGGAAGTGAGGTCTGGGTTAAAGGAATACTCAAGAATTTTCCTATTTAATCTCTATCATGTGGTTGATTAGTATGGACAGTGATTTCCACCACTTCCCTATAAAGAACTGAAATTGCATTGACTCAAAATATACACATTATAAAAGTCAGTGGGCAGGCGCTGAAGCAGAAAACCACTGAGGACACTTCTCATCTCAGCAGCATGTCTCTGCAGGTGGCTGAGGGATCAACTGACCATCAAGGTACTAAAAGGCTCCTTTAAGAAAATACATCAACCAAAAATACTATTGAAGCTAACAACAAATGAAAGCTAGTGAAAGCCAGCCAACATCATCATCTTTACATAGTGCTAACTGGCCCCTACTAGCACACATTACGAGCAGTGTTAGCACCTGAAGATGAAGTATTTCTTTATGGGGCAACTTATACAGTAAGCATGTGGCCCAGAATCCAGTCTTTGAAAACCAATGGCTGGTCCACATGTTTACTCACTTGGGCAGGTAGAGGGGTCCTGAGCACACAAACACATTCTGGTACTGCTTGGTAAGAGAGCGACAGTACTTCTCCAAATTGTTCCATGCATTCTGGTTTAAGTGAGGGTTCTGTTGTGGAAGAAAAAAAGACCAACATACTTTACAATATCCAATATACAATATTTACCAATTTCAATTTTACAGCACACACTAATGTCTATATCATATGTATATTTTCAATCAAACCATGTGGCTACAAAGTATTTTTTTGTTTTCTTTTAAAATCTAATCTTTTGA